AGTACTTCTTTTCAGTTCCCTCAGTGAAAATGTTGATTCTTCTTATTAAGAGCTGTAAGTTATAGTATGCACAGGTCCTGAGCTTTTTTTGTTGTTTGTTTGAATAAATAATGTCATTAAATTTGCAGATTAAAATTAGTGTTCGTTTTGAAGGGTGAAGTGATAAATACAGCAGAGAAAGCATCAGACATTCGGCGCTGTCTCTTAATCATTAAGGGTGCTGTGCAGCCATCTTTGCATGTAATTCTGCACAGGGGAAGGGTAGGGTGTTACTGCAAACTGTCAGTGCCCTGGGACGTGGGATTTAAATTGGTGTAGGATCTTGAGAGAGAATTAGCCTTTTATGTTTGAGTTGTTAACAATCTGCTGGCCTTTTCTCTCTAGTACCAATAACTGATAATAGTTTCTCTCTCTTGGTTTGTTTTTGGTTTGGGGTTTTGGTGGGCTTTTTAGCAGGGAGGGATAAGGGGTGTCCATTAAGGATGTAGACAGCAGGCTAAATTTTCATTAATTGTCAAGTATTATCTGCTACAGTACAGAACAGGCATTTTGCTATTGAGTTTGAACAGTAGAACTTTAATGTATAACATTTGAAGACCACTAATTCTTTGTTCGCAAAAGCGTATTGCAACTGTTACAATTGACTGTATTCTGCAGATTGTGAAGCTAAGCCATATTATAGGACAGCAAGATATTTTTTATTGTCTTAAATTGCCCGTGTTTTTTAACTTGTCTGCCCCTCCTCCTTCGCCCTCAAATCCCCCTCTTCTAGAAACAAAGACTTGTTTGTTCCTTCTCTGCCTGTGAGGTCTTTGCAGTCTCTGCTGTGTGGGTGCAGAGCCCCTTATTTAAATGCTTTCCATAGCCATGGAAGGTAAGGAACAGGATGCATTAGAAAACTGATAAGTCCTAACTGTAATAGATAAATGAGGCTCTTTGCCTTTAAATTCAAAGTACTTAAAAAGAGCTGTGTGTGTCAGGATCATCACAAAACCATGAGGTGTGGAAAAAATAAAATATGCTTATCTGAGATCACACTGATAAGCATATTCTCTAGAGTGCAGATTTCTGCAATCATGCCCTGAGTAAGTAATGGAGAATTGAGAATTAAAATAAAACCAAAAACCAAACCACAAAACAATCAAAAAACAAAACAAAAAAAAAACCAAACCAACAACAAAAAAACTTCAAAACCCTCTATTTTTTCCTGTCACATGAAGCAAGATATGTTTTCCCTCTTTTCATTAAATATTGTGCTGGAAACCCTTGTGTTATTAGCCAAGATGGCTGAAAATCATTCTGTGTTATTACTGTTTTTTCCCCACTGATTTTTCACTTGGGTATGTTGTTAATTTAGTAGAATTCAGTAAGCTGTATCTTCTTTTAATGTCCAAACTTTTCATTTAATTTCACAGTTAAAAACAGTTCCGTTGCATAAAAAACATCTCCGTCATCTGTTCTAGGGACAGTTTAAAATCTGGTCAATTGGAAGTCTTTTTCACTTGCATTCTTGAAATAATAAAATGCTCAGAAATAATCCTTTTAATGGATATGTGAATAAGAATTTAGAAACTAGATTTTTAGGTTTGATTTTGAAGAGTTGCCAACTCATATAATTAATTTTCCCCTCGCAATATCTATTGATGAATATTAAATATACACTGAAGTCTTAATATCTTATGATACTCCTGTTTTAGATACACATTTAGTTAGAAACATTACTTTCAAAATCAGCATTAGAAGGCATTTCAGGGATCTAGGATGAGGGAACAAAATGAAAAACATCAGACAAACATGATTTGTTTCTTACAGTTTTAATTGCAAATTCAGTAGATGGGAAGAATGGAGCAAACTGTGATAAGAGAGAACAGGAATAATACAAGCAGCTGTCAGAAAGATACATGTATATAAAATATGAAGAATTTGGCATGAAAAGGAAATAATTTCCTAAGTTTTGTATTAGTGGAAAAGAAACCTGGGGAAGTGATACTTGTATGGTGCATGCAGGAAAAACAAATTCATAGCATGTTGAAGGGATGTTAGTGATATTGCACCTAAGTGTTTAACTAAGGTTAGAAACTGTTAAATTTTTATGAGATTATGTGTAACATGTCTTGGCTATGAACTGCGTGAGGCTGGGTCTTCGAAACCATGATTATATAATTGGAGACTAGACAATAAAGGTGGCCTTTTTAACCAAAAGAAAATTGACATTCTTCAGCTTTGGGTACTTAATGTTTACAAGCTAGGTAGTTTGCTTTTAACTTAGATGTGCTTCTTTCAGGTGACTGTAATTTTCCTTTTTGTCCCTCTTTACTTTCCACTGTAATTGACCTTCCATCTTGTTTAATAACAGGTTTTGAATTCTGGAACGTCTGAAGGGTAGCACAGACTTCTGCTTGAATTGCAGAATTAGCTAACAGCAAGAAAAGGTTGTTGCTTTCTGTTGTCTCCTCCTAACCCCTTCATTGTCTGCTTTTAAGGGGGAAGACGATAAGATATGAAAAGCAAAAGGCATGGTCCTGGTTCCAGACTTGATATGAGTCTGGGTAAAAAGAGAGAAAGGAGGAGATATATTCCCGGCTCCAGCAGTGTCATGTCTAGTTTGTCTAGAGCTGCTAGGTGGGCTGCCTTTCTTTTTGCCTTGCTCTTTCTAGCTTCAACTTTGCCCTAATTTGGTAAATGTAGGTAGTCTAATTGCCATCAGTCTTCCATCAGAGATTGCCCAGTGGAGGTCCTGGAGCTTATAAGTACAGTTCGCTGTTCAAACCCTTGCAGGACAGCTGCTAGTGCTGTTGAAACTTTTGCTTAACAGTTTCTAGTGTCTTGGGGCATATGAACTTTCTGTCTATGTTCATCAGAGGAACAGGCTGTCCTACCTCTTCTGTTGCCGGCCTAGGGACCACAGCTCATGTCACAAAGCTGGTTGATTGGCTCATCCTGGTCACCCTCTTCCTGAAGTTCAGTTTAGATGGTGATCCCATAGGATAAAGTGCTTGGTTTTAAGCTTTAATCCACAGCAACATCATCTTCCTGCTGGTTTTTTTTTGTTGTTTTTTTTTTTTCCAGAGTCAGGATGAGATTTACAGGTTGGAGTTGAACCTCCAGCCTTTGTATTCACTCTCTTGTATCTACGTGGAGCTGGGATTCAGGTTGGAGTTGAACCTCCAGCCCTTGTATTCACTCTCTTGTATCTACTTGGAGCTGGGATTCAGTTTCTATTCCTGCTTCACCTGTTCACTTACATTTACAGGAAGTTTTGTCTTATTTGTGATCACATGTATGAAGCTCTCTCACAAGTAACTGCATAAAAGATTACTCAAATTACTTCAAGCTATTTGGCACTTAATTTTGGTTTGACTTGACTCATGAAAATGTGATGCACCTGTCCATTAGCTATTGACTATTGACTGTGCTGGACCTATGGAATAGTTGAAAGGATAGACTAGAGAGTTGGGTCTGTAAGTGACTTTATTTTTTTCTTTTCTGTTCTCACTCCCAGATCATATAGCATTTCTTCTTCATATGTTACCTCTCAATGGAAAGATGAGCTTTGGCGAGGAGGAAAGAGAGCAAGGGTGTGAAGCAACAGCCATTTTTACTACTATTATGAGATAAATATATTTAGGCTTTCTTGGAACAGGAAAAAAGCACTACTGTACCTTAAGCTGGACACTCAAAAGACAGTGAAGACTGAAGGGATTTTCAGAGAAAAGATAATGCAGACTCTTTATGAGATAATTCTTCTTGCTTACAATAGTTAGAAGTATTAATGTTCTAGGAATTGTCTATATATGATGAAAAATTCATTCAAACTAATACAACACATGGTTTTCTTTGCACCAAATCAGCCTGTCACCCTAAAAGAAGCTCACTCCCTTTTTTTTCTTAGTTCCCATAAAACATAATCCTCATTCCCAGAAAAAAAAAAAAAAAAATCCCTACCACTCTCCTATCATTGCTTTGGCAAATGTATTCTGCAGCATACTGTGAATGTTAACAGATTCAGGCTGTTCTGGACAACAAGATGGAGAGTTAATTCCAAAACTGAAATATTCCCCTGAAAATAGTGCCCTTGTAATACATACAGCCTTTCCCAGCCCTCTGTTTGAGTATGGGAACTCCAGTGCCCCTGTTGACTTTAACCATACTGGTCTCATATGGGGGAAAGGTCAGGCCTGTCCAGTAGATGCATCCCAGTCATGCATTATTTTATAAAATTGTGTTAGGTCTTGCTTTTAAGGGGGAAGGGAAGATGGGTTCTCATTGTGCATTAGGCATACAAGATGACACTTTCTCTTCTCCACACCCCAGAAAAGATGCATCACATACTTCTGTGGGATAAAAGAAAATGAAGCACTAGTAAAATGTTTCCTGTGTTGATGGCAGTACTTCTGGCTGTATAATTCATCTGCCATTTCTGTACCAGCTCTAATTTTACATGTCAAGATGCCCTAAATGGAGTCTATAACACTCAAAACTTGCTCTGACAAGGATGTGAATGATTGTTGCATGACCTGCACCACATTTGGAAGTATAGTAGACTTATCAAATGTAGTTTGATATAAGTGAGATGATCTGTTTTGTCATTCTATGTGCTCTCAAGTTTAATGATTCTAAGATTTCACGTGAATAAGAAAAGTGGTTTTATATTATTTGTGTCTAAATTGAGAATGGTTTATTAGGAAGAAGAAGGTGAGATCGTTCTAGTTTAACTTGAAATATTTTACTACCACTTTTAAATTTTTTACAAACTTACAGAGTTAACTGTTTTTAAAACAAGTATGTACTCTTAAACATGAGGCTGTTGCATTGATTTCATGGGAATAACATGTGTGAGCATACACTTCACACTGAACATCAGTGTAGCTGCATGTTTTTTTAGTGCCATGGCTTGTGATTTTGTAAAGTTTTTAATATATGCCTTCTAAGGATAATACTTTCCTTGCATGTATTTGTTTGAATTTCATTTTTAAGTGTTTATTGTTTTCATTCCTTAGCCATGAATCAGCGAATCAGCCAAAGCGCTCCAGTGAAACAGCCACCCCCTCTGGCTCCTCAGAGTCCCCAAGGTGGTGTGATGGGTGGGAGTAGCTCCAATCAACAACAACAGATGAGACTTCAGCAGCTACAGATGGAGAAGGAAAGGCTGAGACTGAAGCATCAAGAACTGCTTCGGCAGGTGAGGCCACAGGTTAGACACCTACTTCCACTATTTCTTTTGTATGTTATGTTATGTTCTGTTTTGGCTAAGTTGTTGTTTCAGTGAGTCTTAAAGACCAGTGACTGTACAAAAAGCTTTGAGATCCAAAACAGTCTGAATTCATTCTGCTGCCGATACCAGCTTGATAATGAAAGAATCTGACTTATCAGACTGAAGGATTTTGTTTTCCTCCCTCATTCCTCTCTCTCACAACACTCTCCAAGAACAGGCTTCCTTACTATTAGGATGGCATTGTGGACTGTTGATCTGATTGGTTATTCCTCTTGAAAATGTATATTTCGTATTCAGGGAGTTCTGAGTCATGTAAAAAGGCAGGAAGTTGTTTCCCACAGGTGCTTTAGTTCTCCCTTTTAAGTGGAGGAAAGTCTTTCACTTTTAGAACCTGACACAGTCTGTAGTATGTCAGAGTACTTTTAAAGCTTATATAGGATACAATGAGGAGACACCTTGTTACTAAAATCTTATCTGTTAAAGAGTGGAGTGCAGCATGGAACAACTGAATCACTTGTGCTGCATTTTGAACCTGTGGTGTGCCTGTGCTGAAGAATTTCAAACTTCATAATTAGGCTGCAAGCTATTCCTTTCAATATTTTTCTACTATATGAATATAGCTGTAGAAGATGTTAAAGTGCAAGACAGGACATTGGAATCTCTGGATTTTGAATTTGGGCTTGACTTCCTTTTAACTCTAAGCCTTCTGCTTCGATTTTTCCATCTGAATGTTTTAAGAGTTACTACCATCTGTGCTAGATACTTAGGATATTCTTTGGTTTTTTGACACTGCCAGAGAAAGCACTAATCTTTTCTTTGAGGGAAACCTTCTAAAATCTTACCTTGTTCCCTTTTCACTTTGGGTGATGGGCCTTGTATCAGGAGAGGATGATGTCTTAATGTCTTCAAAGACAGCTTTTCTCTTTCTTCATCGCCTGCAGTATTCTGTCCTGGAACCTGACTCCCATTATCCCCCTTGTAGTCAAGTCCTGTTTTGTAGGAATCTTCAGCATCTCTTGGTGTAAGATGGGTCATCTTTACAGCCATTACTTTTTATAATACTCTAGGTAAGAATACATTGCAAAGGTGGCATCAGGACTTTCTCTCCGCTTAAGCACCTGGGCTTCTGCTGTTCCTGCTTTGCAATTAATCCACCAACAAACATTTTACACTGTGCTAGCATGCTTCTAGGTAGGCCTTCTAATTGTCTTCTTGCCTCAGTTGTCATTGAGAATCTGCCTAACTTTGGACCAGGTGACAGCCAGTTCCCTTCCCGTTGTTCTACCTGGTCATTAAGCTTATCTGTCAAATACGCATCCTTGGTAAATCGGTGAGGTTTGTTTCACTGTGTCATGGTTTTCATAGTTTCTTAACTTCCTTATCCTGTCTCATCTGGCCTGTCCTGGGGGCTTAATACTACAAGATGGTGTATATAAGACAGCCTGCATAGGCAAACCATGCAGCTAAAGTAATTTTTATCCATCTTATTTTTACTCTTAGGCATTGCGGAATATCAATCCCAGCACAGCAAATTCTCCAAAACATCAGGTAGGCTCTTAACTGATGTTTCAGCATAATTAGAAAAATGAAAGCATTAAATTAGGCTAGTAGGGGAATTTTTTGCTACATGAAGGCATTCTAAAAAAGAAAAACAAAAGCAAACAAAAATCACAACAAAAAAAACAAGCTCTGCCATACACATTTTTGAAACACATCTCTGGTCACAACCCTAATTTAAGATTGCTGCATTACCACAACTTTATATCAGTATTTGAAAGCAAATGAGGAATTCATTTCACATTTTTCTGCATTGAAAACAACCTTCTTGTTTAGCATTCTTGAGGATACTGCTGTTCCAGTCCTGATGTCATCAAGATGTGTATTTAAAGTGAACCTCCCATTATATCTAAGGTAGTAGTTTGTGACTTTGAAGTTCTGTTCATATGAATGTTCTTACCAGTTTGGTAAAATAGGTATGACCTTAAAGAAGGATAGCTGTAATTGGTTAACAAAAAGTCACTTGAAATATTTATGATTTTTAAGCATGTACAGTGTAACAGAATTACTTGAGTAACAAAGTAATTGCTATGCTGATATAATATGTAATTATTCCATTTTGACTTTTAACAGAATCCTGCACAGATACATTTTCTGTATAGGAAACAGCAATTCTGAAAAGCCTCCCAAGCTCAGACCAAAAGAAAATTGGTCAAAATGTGAAGCATAATAAACAGTTCAATGCAGACTTGGTTTAGGTTCTTAAGAAGTTGAATATGGAATGAGTCTCTGAAAGGGTGGATTTATGGATATATTCAGAGAGCTTCTTGCTTGCTATTGCTAACAATATTCTTAATCTACTGGTTCTTAGGACAATATTTATGTTGGCTTGTATTGTACGCTGTTTTTCTAAGAAAAGACTACGCACTAGGCAAGAAAAGCAGAATAAAAGAAAGTTTCCTGCGTTTGGAAGCCATGAGTACTGGTGTACTATTGCATTCTGAAGAGTACTGCAAAATGTGTACTTTATTAGTTCTCCTGAGAAGATCATCTTCAAATAGGAACACCAGACCTTAGAAACAGTACTGACACCCTGGAAAAATTACCTTCTTGTTTGGCAATATCAGTGCAGCTCTAAAACTTAAGCATTTTAATTGAGATGTAATAATTTGATTCATTTACAGAGTATTAACTGCATAATGATCTCAACAATATTAATCCTCTTATGGAAGAGAAAAAAATTTCTTAAGGATTGCTGGTATACAAGGAAATAAACAGAGAAGCACATTCCTCCACACCAGTTGGAAATACCTTATCTTCTTCCACAATTAGGTCATTCAGAAGAGATGCTTTTCTTACTGAATGCCAAAAGTGTATTCTGTGTTTTCTTGTATGCCTGAAGCCCTGTCATACAGTTGTTCACTCTCCCACAGTAACAACTTCCTGTTACCAACTCAGAAATACGCAGCAAATGGAGAACTTGTATAAGTAGTGGTCACTCTGCTTTGTTTGGGATGGGAACTGATGAAAGGATTTATGCAAAACCAGGATTCCAGCTACATTTAAACTGGCTTCATACCAGGCTAACCTGTATAGGCCTGGCTCACCTGCCTGGGATCAGTTTTATTAGTCACACTTGCTAATGAGTTAAGCTGTGTTTGATTGATCTGGTGGACAGAAAAGTAGGAAATCATAACAACTTAAAAGTTCTATAATACTATATTATTCATATTGTATCATCTAAATGTATTTTTGTGTTTTCATGTGTCACTTCAGTAATATAGTGAGCAGCCATATGTGGAAGAAGGTGCTTAGAGAACTACTTCTGGGAATTATTCCCTAATGCTTCTTGAGGCCTTGCAGTATGCACTATAGAGGCAAGTGTTGTATGCCTTCTCCAGTGATGCTGTTATTGAAGTCCCAATCTGTCATAGGAAATATCAGGTCCTAGTCAACCTAGTGAATCTGTGAAAAATCTGTAGAAAGAACAAACATACATATCTTCAGTCAACTTTATCTTTTTGACAGATCCTTTCTTTCCTTTGTGAATAAAATTAATGAAGTTTAGAGGAATTATCTGCTTTCATAATGATAAAGCTGTGTTTGGGGGAAGAATAGTAGCTTCTCTTGCTGAACTTTAGATGTTCTTTTAAGGAATACAGAAAATAAAATCTTCATATGTTCAGTGCTCTTAATTCTGGTAAGACTAAGTCTACCAGAGAGTACCTTTTGGAAAGGGATTGTCAGGATCTTCTGTTTGTAAAGAAATTACATGACATCAGCATTCTTGAAGCTTGCCTCTAAAGAACTATCTCTTTTACATGCATAAAAAACCCCTGAGAAATGTTCCTTAACTTTTAACTAGATCTCTGTGCTTTTCTTAATCACAGAATCAAATAAGTTGGAAGGGACTGGTGGAAGACATCTATTCCAACATCCTGCAGCCAGCCCAACCTCCTCCTCCTTCTTGACATTTTTGTCTAGTGTCGTGGTTGTACTGATATCTTTGATCAGGTTTTTTTGGTACTGAGTGAACACTGTGTCCTTGGCAGGTTTTCTCTCTCTTTCACGATCCTGTAGTATCCTGTAGTGACGCTATCACTTAAAGTGTTATGTATGGAGGCCTTAGCAGTCAAATACCTCCTGGAAAGATGAAACAGTTCCTCAGCTTCATCTTTTGTAGCAAGTACTGTAAAAGACTCTTCTTGTTTGAATGAGGATGTATTGTATTATAATTCTAAAAATGTTCAAGTCTAAGGTATTTGAAACAAAAATTATAACTTCTATATTTACTGTGTATAAACAACAGCTGTTGATACATCCAGGGAATTTGAAAACACCAAGCATCTGTCCAGTTTTGTTCATCATCATCATCAGTTATCTGTGAACACCTTGAAGATGCCTACCTGTCTAAGTTAAGAGATTGAGTGACTTGACTTTCTCTATAGCCCCAGAAGCTCTCCTTCCAATTTTCTGCAGTTAATATCCAGTTGTCGACAGTGTCTCACCTAAAATAGATGTCAGTCAACTTTTGTATACCTCATGAAATTGGCTAGATGTTAGGTAACAGAATTCTTGTCTTCCAGTACATGATGTAAAGAGATAGAGGCAAATAATGTTGAGGTGCTGATGACATTGTTCTTGGATGTTGTGCAGACCACTTTCTTGTGCTAAGACTGGAAGATTTCTTATTTATCTACTTCTAAGATGAGGGTGTTTGTTAGTAAGATTGGCATACTACATAGCCATTTACGTGATAGGTTCCTCTGTATATGCTTGCTCATTCCATATCTGCTGCTTGTTTCTAGTACTGAATGGAGATCCCCATCTGAGAACCAAATATGGCCCTGCTTCCTTGCCACTCTGTTCAGTTGTGCTTTCCAACTTACCTCTCTGTTATATCTGTGCTGCTTTCTTGATAGTTCCGCATACCTAGAATGTGGTCTGTCTTAATTGTCTCCATTCTTTTGTTCTTTATATTTTATGAAGTACTTCTCATATTCTCTGTCCTGTTGCCCTGGACTTATTTCTTATCAACTTCTGAGTGTCATGGAAATTACCCTACTCAGTGAAGAATCTGCAAAGACATATGGCCTGTCTGTCACTGTTTGATGACTCACTTGGTTTTGTTTCATATTTTTTTCATATTTGCTCTTACTTCATAAAATATAAGCACTTACAGTACTGAAGAGCTACTGGGTTTGAAATATTATTTTAGTTTCCTGTGATTCCTTTTCTGTAAAAGTTGATCTTAGTTCAGCTCAGTTGGTGTTTGACACCTTTCATCAGCTTAGTCAAGATTTCCAGTGTTTCAGGAATGTATTAATTTCTTAGGACACTATTAATATTTTTCAATAAAAGATTTTTTTCTGTCACTTTCTAAGTACACGAATACAAAGCTGTGTTACTGTCAGATTTGTGACATTTTCTAGAAAATAAGGAAGACATCGTTAAAAACAAGTACAGTCTTGAAGTCTGTACTCTTGAACTTCCATGACGTCAGTGAAGCTGGAAGTTTCACTGAGGACTTAGGTTTTGGTTTGTTTGGGGATTTTTTCTCTTCCCTGTAATATGTCTTTAAATAACAAGATACACTTGTGTTCAAATCTTGGTGGAAATGGTGAGCAATAGTTATTTTAGTTTCTTAGTGAATCGCAAACAGTGTTATCCCTTGAATCTCTCATTTCCCATCCCCTTGTGTGTTATCTGAAGCTGACCTAGATTAACCAGATCATGGTTTTGTCAAAGGGGAGGGGAGGTAGGCAGGCCACAGCGAGTTGGTGTTGGGTTTTGGTTGCTTTTTTGTTGCTTGGGTTTTTTGGGGGGGGTTGTCTTTTTTTTTTTTTTTTTTTTTAACGGTGATAAGGTACTGAAGCCAGCCATTTGGTCTTTGAATATGGCTTTTTTGACCAGTGAGGATACAACCACTGGTATGCAGAAACATTTTTGAAAATTAGGTTTACGAGATGCAGGAAGAAAATAAAAAGTCACTTGCAGCAAATTCATAGCTGTATTGTGTCCCTCGGTTTTAATTTGCCTTATTTATTGATATTTGATAGGGGAAATGGTCTGTGATGTCTTATACTGAAGAGATCCATTATGTGAAAAGTTTTGAGGAGGGTTAGCTAAGACACAGTGAAGAGTCTTTCCAACAAAGGTTTTTTCCCCATTTAAAATGTTTCCTTCTGATTTAACTTTTTTTAATCTATATTCATAAATAATACCTGAAACTTCTCATGTTAGTGGAAGTAAATATTGTATCCTTTTGTTGTGTTTTACTTTTTTACTGTCTTCTTCAGTCTGGCAGTAAATTCCGCATGTAATAACAAATCTTGGCATATGGCCTCAATTTATATAGGCATCTATTTCTAGGAAAGCCCTTGTATTTTAGGTAGCTAAAGGTTAGTTCAGGTAATCTGTCAAGTACCTGTCATAGTGGTTTGAGCCCAGAGGGCAACTGAGCACCAGCAGCCAACCACTCCTTCCCCTTCAGGAATGGGAAGGAGAAATTAAAGCAAAAGGCTCTGGGAATTGAGGTAAGGACAGGGAGG